AAGCACGAGCAAAAGCTGTAATGGGAGGCCCAAAGTTAGACCGTCTGAGAGCGCCCCATTAACCTCGGCACATCAGCGGTGTGGTTGCAGGGCAGGAAAGCACTACTTTGGTCCCACGAACTCCTTTCCAACATGGGGTCTGCACAGGGGTCTTGTAGAGAGTGCCTGTGTAAGCACCGGGAAATGTTGGTGACCTTTGCTCACAATTTCTAGGAGGGTCTTTGCAGATGGGAGCTGGCAAGGCAGGAAGGCCTTGCAGGAGGAGATATTGGAACACCTCCTCCTCTGCCCATGTTCTCAGAATATGGGGTAATCTCAGTTGCCCTATGTCCACAGTGCTCAGGAGATAAAAGCCTGTTGATGCATTGTATGTGGTCAGACCTGGTAGTGCCCTACTGCCCTGCCTGCTGGCTGCATATTGATAATGATCAGTGGTTTGGTGTACTAGGTTAGCTTTTCTAGAAGAATTACCTGTTCCATTGTATTCTAATGGTACATGCTTCTCTCCCTGGCTATCTTGTCCCACAGTAGTTCCAAGGCCTCCCCCAATAGTTTCAAGCTCCCCCCAAAAACCTCCCCCTTGCTTTCTACCCCTCAATTAACAAGTGTGTGCACCTAACAAAAAGCTGTGGAAACCAGAACTCAGGGCCAACGTGGTCCTTGCACTTCACGTTGGTCCCCTGGACCCACACTTTAATTCTATTTCTGTGTCTTTGTCTTTATTTCTTTTCTTAACCCCTCATCACCACCGGGGCTCATGGCACCCATGAACAGGGTTGGGGCTGGTACCCAACATGATTAATGCTCATTTACATTATACCTAAGATAAAGCAAATATGTGGTTACTATATGTAGGGTAAAAAGTTAATGAGCATATAGGTTTCTTAGGTATTGGAAAGTGATGACTTATTATATCTTGCCTTTGTGTTTTATCTGATAGACAAAGTTGTAATCAGTAAACGTCAATGAAATATTTGACAGAATCTAACCCTGCAGAGGAGAGTTTAGCTTTGCTTTATAGGCCTAGTTTTTATTATGCATGTGGCCAACCAGAAGCCATCTTGGCCCACTTTTAGAACTTTATTTCAATTTTTCTTTTTCTGATAGTTGCAAATAAATAAAAAGTACTGGCACACAACATAAACGAATATAAGAATTCATGGACAGTTACATCCCTTTTGCAATTCCTTCCTAAACCATTCATCACATTAGCAGTTTGCATCAAAGCCAAATGACTTCCTATGGTGAGTAAAGCAGGTTTGAAATACTTATCTAAGTATGTCAGAACAGGGCTTTATAATTTCAGTGTTAGCTCATTGTGATTTTTCTGAATAAATGAGTAAATAAGTGATTGATAGGAGATGAATTAAAATAGTTCCTGTTTAAACTTTAATGATGCTTTTTAGTTCATTTTCCTTGTTGTCTAAGGCTTTCTTTTTTTTTTTTTTTTTTGTACTTTAAGTTCTGGGATACATGTGCAGAACATGCAGGTTTGCTACATAGTTATACATGTACCATGGTGGTTTGCTGCATCCATCACCCCGTCATCTACATTAGGTATTTCTCCTAATGCTATCCCTCTTCTAACTCCCCACCCCTGACAGTCCTGGATGTATGATGCTCTCCTCCCTGTGTCCATGTGTTGCCATTGTTCAACTCCCACTTATGAGTGAGAACATGTGGTATTTGGTTTTCTGTTCCTGTGTTAGTTTGCTGAGAATAATGGGTTCCAGCTTCATTCACATCCCTGCAAAGGACATGAACTCATCTGTTTTTATGGCTGCATAATATTCCATGGTGTATATGTGCCATATTTTCTTTATCCAGTCTATCATTGATGGGCATTTGGGTTGATTTCAAGCATTTGCTTTTGTGAATAGTGCTGCAATAAACATACCTGTGTATGTGTCTTTATGGTAGAATTATTTATAATCCTTTGGGTATATAACCAGTAATGGGATTGCTGGGTCAAATGGTGTTGCTGGTTCCACATCCTTGAGGAATTGCCACACTGTCTTCCACAATGGTTGAACTAATTTACACTCACACCCACAGTATAAAACCGTTCCTATTTCTCCACATCCTCTCCAACATTTGTTGTCTCCTGATTTTTTAATGATTGCCATTCTAACTGGCATGAGATGGTATCTCTTTGTGGTTTTGATTTGCATTTCTCTAATGATCGGTGATGTTGAGCTTTTTTTCATATGTTTGTTGGCAGCATAAATGTCTTCTTTTGAAAAGTGTCTGTTCATATCCTTCGTCCACTTTTTGATGTAGTTGTTTTTTTCTTGTAGATTTGTTTATGTTCCTTGTAGATTCTGGATGTTAGCCATTTGTCAGATGAATAGTTTGCAAAAATTCTCTCCCATTCTGTAGATTGCTTGTTCACTCTTAGGATACTTTCTTTTGCTGTGCAGAAGCTGTATGGTTTAATTGGATCCCACTTACAAATCTTGGCTTTTGTTGCCATTGTTTTTGGTGTTTTAGTCATGAAGTCTTTGCCGATTTCTATGTCCTGAATGGTATTGCCTGGGTTCTTCTAGAGTTGTTATGGTTTTAGGTCTTATGTTTAAGTCTTTAATCCATCTTGAGTTAATTTTTGTATAAGGTATAAGGAAGGGGTCCAGTTTCAGTTTTCTGCATATGACTAGCCAGTTTTCCCAACACCATTTATTAAATAGGGAATCCTGTCTTCATTGCTTCTTTTTGTATATATATAGATGTGAATATATGTGTGTGTGTGTGTGTGTGTGCATATATATATATATATATATATATATATATATATAGTTTTCTCAAGAGAAGAGAGGTCAGAAGGAGACTGGTAGATAAGCAGTTATTTTATTAATCTAGGACAGAGAAAATGGCATCCTGAACCTGGGAGAATGACAAAGGGAGAGAAAGCAGACTTGATTAACAGTGCTTCTTTGAAGATGAGGATCAATAGTACATAGTGACCAATAGTGGTTCCCCAAAGATTTGATGCTACCTGAGCCTGTAAACAACCTGAAGTCAGGGAAGACTTAACAATGACCATGAAAGGAAGCTTTAGACAGAGCCTTGGTCTCATGACTGTGAAACTGCCAAATACACCCTACATTGTCTAGCTTTGAACTTTTAGATTCTTTTATTTTTTATTTTTGTACATCAGAGAGAAATATGCTTCCATACTGTTTGAGCTCTTATTTTTATTTCTGTTATATGTCACTAAACCTAATTCAAATACAGCATTTTCTCTTATAATCTTATTTTTATTGTGGTAAAATTTGCTTATAATGAAATGTACAAATGTTCATTACAATTCAATAAGGGCTCTGGTTATTTATGACTAAGTGGCTGAAAACAATTTTTTTTTTAATCAGCTCCTACAGTTTTGAAATTAACTGTCTTAGCTGGGTGATTATCATATGGGATATCTCCTTAAACCACAAGATGTGGTTTGATGTCAGCTGAGTCTTTAGTCATCTGAAGGTTTATGGCTGTCTCACTTGCCTGGCAGTTTCTCCTTGCTGTCACTTGGAAACCCAGCTGGGCATTTGGTTAGAGCTATAAACCTGATTCTCTATACATGGCTCTCCATGTGGCATTGGCTTCTCATAGCATGGTGGCTGGATTCTGCATGTCCCAAGAGACCCAGGAACAAACTATAAGGTTTTTTTTTAGTGGTCTGGCCTCTTAAGTCCTAGAATGTCACTTCTGCCATATTCTGTTAGTCAACTAAGTCACTAATTAAGCCCAGATTCACAGGGATTGGGATTAGACTCTATCTCTTGTATGGGGGAGTGGCAAGGTCACATTGCACAACAACATACAGTATGGGAGATATTGCTGTGGTCATCTTTAGAAATTTAATCCATTACAGTAAGTTTTGATACATGCATCCACCCATGTTACTGCCCCTAATATAAAACATTTCCATCATGCCACCTTCTGTTCAGTCCTTACACCTTCCAGCCTCCCAAAGACCATCACCGTGCAGTAGTTTTATCTGTGCTTGAACTTTGCATATATGAAATAATATAGTATGTATACTCTTGTGTTTGGTTTTTTTCACTCAATGTAATATTTTTGAGATTTATGCATGTCGTTGCATGTAGCAGTAATTTGTTCTTTGTTATTACTGAGAATAATCCTGTTATATAAACATACCACAAATTGTTAATCCATTTTCCCATGAATAGATGGTTGAATTGTTTCTAGTTTGGAACTATTGTGAATAACACTACTGTAGGCATTCTTGTACAAATATTTTTATAACAATGTTATCATTTCTTTGGGAATGAAATTTCTGGGTCAGGGTATAGGTATACAATTAACTTACAAAGGCACAAATAGATTTCCTACATTGTTATAGCTTATTTTCATTTCAATCAGCAACATATTAGAGTTTTATTGATCTATATTCCTCAAAATTTGGTATTGTCAGTTTTTTTTAATGTTAGCCATTCTAGTTAGTGTGAAATAGTATTTCATTATGCTTTTAATTTGAATTTTCTGAAGACTAATGATTTTGATCATATTGGTTTTGTTGATCCTTCTCAGATCTTATTCTATATGTTACCGATATCTGCTCTTAAAATTTCTCTTAACTTTCACTTTTTTGGGATCTATTTTGCTGTTATTTTTCTCATTTCTAATGTTTGGTAATTAATTTTTAGGTTTCCCTTGCTGTTAGATGAATGTTTATGTAACGTTTCCTCTGAAGTGCCATTTTCTTGCACATCATAAGTTTTCATATGTAGTATTTTACTGTCATTTAATTCTAAATATTTTAAAAATTTTATTGTTACTTCTTTTTTTGAGCCATAGGTGACTTAGAATTGTTATTTTTTATTTCCTGATATATGTAGGGTTAATTTATCCTTTTGTTATAATTTTCAAATTTAATTGTGTTTTGATGTCAGGGAATATAATCTACTTATGTAGATTACCTACATTTTGCAATTTGTTAAAACATACTTTCTAAGCTAGAATGTGACCACGTTTTAGAAATTGTTGATCTCCTGGTGCTTACCACCAGCTGTGTGCTTGCACTGACTGTACAGAAAAAGAGACAGGGTAAACACAGCCCACATATGCCTCAGACTAGGCCCTGTGCCTGGTCTATATTGTGAATAGGGGGACATAGAAGAAAAAAGAGAGAGAAATTGTTTTTGTGTATTTGGGAAAAATGTATATTCTCTAATTTGGTCAAGCATAGAAATTATATTGCTTCTATAGCTTTGTTAAATTTTTCTTGTTTGTTGTTGCATACATATCAGTAGTTAAGAAAGAATAACTCAAACTCCCATTTACTAATTTATTCTCGCAGAGTCTCGCTGAGTAACCCCTTTCTCTAACCTGTTTAAAATAGCTTTTGATTTCTCCAGGGGCTTAGCTCAAGGTTTTTCTTTATATTCTTTTAATCTATAATAAAAATAAAATAATTAAATCTTGGAGTTCATGTTTCCTTCTTTAGTCCTTCAAAGTTGCTTTTCGAGACAGAAGCCAAAAGCCATCTTTACTGGCACTAAAACCCATATCACTAATTTTTCTATATTAATTGTTTATCCAGAAATCTCTTTTTCATGGGATATAATCTATTTTTTTGTATGTACAGATTCTTCAGAGATTTTATGTAACTATTTAAGAAATAAATAGGGTATCTTTTCATGTATTCATATTCTTTATTCTTTTAATATTATTCTTGACTGCAACTGCCTATTACATTTTGAATAGTAGTAATGGTGTGGATACCCTTGTATTGTTTCTGGCTTTTAAGATAAAGCTTCCAAAGTTTTATCATTAATTATCATGTTTGTTTAGTTATTCCTAGATACATTTAATTAAAATAAGGAAAACTGTTCTCAGATTGCAAAGTTTTTTTGTTTTTAGAATCATAAATGGAAATTGAATTTAATGGAATTATTCTTTGGCATATATCAAAATATTTCCTACTTTTTTGCTTTAACTACATCAATACATTAATGTTATGGTTTATAAAAATAGTTTTTATAGTATTAAATTATCTTTGCTCTTCTGAGACTAACCCATCTCCATTATAATGAATTATTTTTTACTGAAATCCCTAGGTTTGGTTTTCTTATGTTTTGTTTTGAAATTTTTGCAGCTAGGTTAATAGGTAATATTTCCCAGTAAGTACCCTTTCCCATACTGCCCCAGATTCTAAAACCTTGGATGGTTCAAAATTTTATATATTTTTATGTAGGATATAATAAGATTGTTGAAACTCTAAAAAGGCATAATAATAGTAAAATTACAAAAAGCCTTAGGAAGATATTCTGGAAAGGAAGAATGAGCATAATAAAAACAGACAATGATAAAATAATTTAAACAATTTTATTAACAATTTTAAAAGTAGTTTTTGTTTAAGTGTGCTGGTTATTCTTTGATTATTATATCATATATTGTTTTTCTTGGTTTAAACATCTAAGAGAATCACATGTACTCTCTCTCTGTCTCGTGTGTGTGTGTGTGTGTGTGTGTGTGTGCTTGTGTGTGTGTGTGTGTGTGTGTGTGTACGTTACAAGGCCACAACATATATGTGTGCGTATATATCTTTGTAATTTGTAATTTAATGCTGAAAAATTGTTAAATCTATATAATTTTGAATCAGTTCTTTTAATATTTTATTATAAAAGGCCAAGCATGCACAAAGGTTAACAAATCCCCATTATTTTCAACCTAGATTTTACAGTTATCAATTAAACTCGCACACTTTGATGTAATAATTTTGTAATTGTTTGATGTTTAAAGTATTTATTGCTTAGTGCATTTATATAATTAATTAAAGGATATTACACAAAAAAACACATAATAAGTAAGAAGTATTCCCCTCCACTTGGATAGTAAGGAACTGTTAACAAGAAATACGAATATAATCCCTATTTGTAGACTAGGTAACTGAGGCACCTGCAGTTTAAGTAATCTGCACAATGAAACAGGCATAGTCTGTTCTGGAGCCAATATTAAAGCAAGCTGCTGATTCCTGCATTGCACACTTATCCATTATACCACACAGGAGTCTGAGAGGGAGAAAAGCCAAAGGTCCTAGGAGTGTAATGATGAACAGAAAAGAAGACACTTATTTCCAGAAGGGATGATTGGCAAGGTTAGATACTATGGAAGGATCAGGTAAGATCAGTATTGTAAAGCTCTTAGTGAATTTGTCCACTTGGAGATTATTGTCAGTCTTGGAGAGATCCTTTCAAAGCTGAGGTCATAGCAGAAACTATATTCCAGATATTTCATTTTTTGTAGTAGAATAAAATTAAGAGTAAGTATTATTTAATATAAAAACAATATCTGATATAATGGAAACCTAAAATCAAGCCATTTTTTTGCCACTTCAGATAAATATTCAAGGTAAATCTTTGAACTCTATTTAAATATCAGAATTTACCCCTGGGAAGTGGTAGAGAAAATCTGGCAGCTACTGCAAACTGTCTTCCACAGTGGAATGCTTTATAAACCAAGACTATTAGAGCAAGCAGAGAACTGGGTCCTAGAAATAGTTGGTATCTAAAATAATTTTTTTAACCTTTCATTTAATTAGATTTTGCTTATTTTAAAAGGAGAGCAATTCATCATTCAGATCATTTTTATTCACTTAAGGTATTATTTCCATTTCTGTCAACAAATTCAATGAATACCCTGTGTTTGGGAATGACAGAAAACAAAAGGATATTTTAATCTTAAGGATAATTTTAATTCGTATAAAGCTAAGTTTTACTTTGACATTATCTTTTGCGGATTCAGGAAAAACTATAGCTCTTGTTGACAGTGATGTAAAAGCGAAGTAATTCAATTTAACAAGTTCATTTTAGTCTCTTTACATTTAAATGTGATTTTCCTGCAAAGTAAAAAAATAAATGTGTCTTATACTTAATAGCAGAAGAAATTAAAAATTTTAGCTGCCTAATTTTAATTTTTTATTTCTGTTATAAAATGGTCTGGGGGTTACTAAAGACTATGAAATATCATGAAATATGCTATTGTTGGCATCTTTTTGTACAATTCACAAGTCAACATGCTGTATGCATGTAATGTCCTGAGAAGGAATGAAATGATCTGAATAATTTCTGCAACAGATTTTAGCAAATAGTGTTTTAGAAGCTGAATGTTCAAGAATCTCTTTTTAGCAAATAGCATTTTAGAAGCTGAGTGTTTCAGCTCCATTACTGATTAGTATTGGTGACCAAGTTCTATTATTCAACTCCACTTAAACTTGTAATTGTAACTTGTTTTTGCTAATCTCTTCTGGCAAATGGTTCTCAATCATTTATATATTACATTCTACTTCTAAGTCTCTTTGAGAATTTAAGTCCAACAACGAATAACACAATTCCCCTACTTTTTGGACAAAGGTAGACATTTAATCTTTCTCTCACTTTCGACTATTAAATGACTATCATTTACTGACACCCTACAATATGGGAAATATTTTATCTTATTTAATCCTCAGGCAACTCTGCTTAGATATTATCATTTCCGTTTTACAGATGAGAAAGCTGAAACTTGAACAAGTAGGGAGTGCTTATTGAATAATTAGGGAGGAGGGATGCAGAAGCCAAATACTTAGCATTCCTGCCCACCTTCCTGCTGCCCTGCTCCTCCGAGAAGCAATTGCCATAGAAAATACAGATGTAGCTGTTTACATTCCTCCCTGGTCCTCAGTCCTTTCAGGCATCATTGGGAATCTCACCCCTTGGGCAAATTTCTAGTCTTTCATGGCTATCACCATGGCCTGAGAAATTGTCATATGCAAGAGGTTTTCAACCAATGAGCCAATGAAGAACTAACTCCCCTGGCTTTTCTGGCTTTTACGAACTTTCCATTTTCCTCCTCCTCAACCTCTCTGCTGAAGCTCTTAGAAAGTAGAGAACGGTATTGGCAGAATCATGGTGTTGGAGTGTCGTCGTGTATAGTTTGAAACAATCCCCATTTTGCTTTGCCCTTGACCTTCTTTTTTCTCTCTCTCTTTACCTCTTTTCTTCCTTTCTCTTTGCAGATTCCTCTCTCCCCCTACCCATACCCCGTTTTCCTTTCTCCTTTAAGGAAAATCAGATTCATTGGGTTAATTTCAAAGCTCCTTAGGTGATTTTACTTTCTTTTTCCCTCCTTCCCTAACTCCTGTGACCAACTGAACCCCCTTCCTCAAATATGAAAAATATGTTAATGTCAGTGCAGTTATTTTAACACAGATTTTCTGATTCTAATTATTTTCTTTTTTTTTTCAAAAAGGACAAAAGACATATCTACATGCTCATCCTATGATAAATATTTAAATTTTAAGGTAGTTTCTTTATACAGATGGTTTTCTGCACTAGAATATGGTTTTACTCTATAATAGAAAAATGTTTATGCTAGAGTAAGGGATTGTACTTGACAAAAGATAAAGAGCAAAATGAAAGAAGATAAAAAAAAAGATTCTACTTCCTACATCTCTGCAAACCTTATATTTTTTATTGTTTATATCAAAGCTCTGATTTTTGTTATACAATTACTTTAAGCTGCTCAGGTTGCATTTTTGTTATGCTTTGTTTTTTTGAGACAGGGTTGCCTAGGCTGGAGCATAGTGGCACATTGGCTCACCACAGCCTTCGCCTTTCAGGTTCAAGCAATTCTCATGCCTCAGCCTACTAAGTAGCTGGGATTACAGGCGTGTGGCACCATGCCCGGCTAATTTTTGTATTTTTCGCAGGGACAGAGTTTCACCATGTTGGCCAGGCTGGTCTCGAACTCTCTACCTCAGATGATCCACTTGCCTCAGTCTCCCAAAGTGCTGGGATTATAGGTGTGAGCCACTGCACCCAGCCTTGGGGTGCATGTTAAACTTACCTGGGGATCTTAAGACAAACACGCATTCCTAGACAACTCCAGACCTAAATGTAATAGGTCTGGAGTTAGGATGTAAGGAATCAGCTGCCATGTAGATTACTTTTTAAAGATGCTTTTCCAACTCTCTGTAAAGTGCCAATTTTAAAACTTCCAAATTGTCTTAGAAAAATTACAATGAAAGAGAATTACCATAAAATGAAAAATAAAAAAGGTATCCAAAAACCAAATGTAAATAATTAGAATCAACAGATATAAAATTGCTTTTGATAAATACAGTCAAGACAAATA